AGATATGGGAACATATATATATGTATAACTGACTCACTCTGTTATAAAGCAGAAACTAACACACCATTGTAAAGCAATTATACCCCAATAAAGATGTTAAAAAATAAAAAATAAAAAAAAATAAATTAAAAAAAAGGGAGCACTGCTAAGGAAGACATTAGCGCTTTCATATTAAACCCACTAAGGATGGTAGCCCATGAGGACCCCATGCTGACGCCCATGTCAAAGGCCAGAGAGAAAAAAAGAGTAAAAGATAATCCAGGATGGTAGCAGGACTGGTGGTAGGCTCCAGGGGTGACAGACCCGATCTGCGTCCTGGCTCTGCCCCTGATGAACGCCGGTGGCTCTGGGCGGGTTCCTTATCCTCTACCCTCAGCCTCCTGATCTCTCGAACAGGGACATCATTATGCCTCCTGAATAGGAAGGACTGGAGAATTAAGTGAAATGTCAGGCACAGAGACTTTACTCCCCAGAGTACCAGGTGCAAGCTGGTGAGCAGTCTTGTGTGAGTGCTTAGCTTTTCTTGGAAGTGTGGTTTACTTTTAAACCATGTTGTTGCTGGGGCATTAAAGTTGTATAAGGAATAAGATGTACACGCAGTTGAGTTAATAAAGAAACATAATTATACATAAAAGGTCCAGTAGATCTGTCTCTCAGGCCTGAAAGAATGCTGTCTTCTGGTGCTCAAACAGGTCCCCTGGGGCACCCAGTGCCGCCAATTCTAGGGACAGGGATGGGCGGAAGGGAATTCACGGACTCCAAAGGACTGTCTTTGCCTCTCTTATTCTCAAACAGAGATAGAAGGAATTTCGTGGCAGTCCAGTGGTTAGGACTCCACGCTTCCACTGCAGGGGGCACGAGTTCGATCCCTCGTGTCGGGTAACTAAGATCCTGCATGCCACGCAGCGCACCCCCCTCCCCCAAAATGAGTACCTGTTAAAAGAGAGACAGAGACATTTCAGTAGCAATGGAAAAAAAAAAAAAACAACTGTCTAGAAACCACCATCCTGATCATTTATTTTGAGCTTATACTGCATGCTGGGGTGCCCACTGGTTCCCCTCCCCGCCGAACACACACAAACCTACTTTCCTAAATGTTGAAAACACACACGAGGTGTTAAACATTTTTTCAAGTTTTCTGAGATGCAACTGATAGCTATCAACAAGCACTGGCTTGGAATTTACCCCTGGGTCATTCTGCATACTTTTTTTCCATGTGAAACCAAATTGAGGAAACATATTTAAACAATCTGAATTTATATCCTGCTTGAAATTCACGCTGTGGGGCTTAAACAAGACTGGATCCTTTACCCACCCCTTAGCTGCAAAAATACGATTTATTTTTCTTGCAAATGGACCATATATGAGGGTAAAACAAATGTCTTTCTGTCTTGAGATGTGTATATGTAACTTTTTTTTTTTTTCCTGGCGAAACTCTTAGAAGCCAAACATCTAACAGAATGACTGATATCACCCTTGCCTGAAACAAACAACAACAAAACACCTTTACCTCGTATATAGCACAGGGAACTCAATACTCTGTAATGGCCTATATGGGAAAAGAATCTAAAAAAGAGTGGATATAGGTATATGTGTAACTGATTCACTTTGCTGTACCCCTGAAACTAACACAACGTTGTAAATTAACTAGACTCCAATAAAAATGAAAAACAAACAAACATCTTTACTTCTCATCAACCAGAAATCAGGAGCTATGTATTCTAGCCCCAATTTGGCCATGACCTAGCTGGGGGACTGTGGGAATTCTCTCCAGCTCTCTGTTCAGAGGACCGTTCGGTGGGCTCAAGGGTGGGAGAGGAGTTGGTTTGAAACACCATCCAAACCCTGTGACTCTAAAACCCTATGACTCCAGGCCAAAACATGGGTAAACAATTACAAGATCTTGTTCTGAAAAATAGTTTAATATTTACTTAAAACAGGGGTCCTGAGAAGTCTTTTCTGTAACGCCCTCTTCAAAGGAAAACCCCGAATTTCCAATTCTGACCTGAGGTAGGGGTCTTTGTTGTTTTTCTCATCAATCCCTTTAATGTAGTAACATCCCACCTGCTGGAGCTTTAGGATTTCGCTGCTAAAGGTGGGAGGTGTTTGGTAAAGGTTCCAGGCCTTAGGTGCAAGCTGGGCCCCCAGAGGAGGATGCCTCCTCCACTATATCCTTTTTTGAAGGAGGGTGGAGCCCTGAGCTGAGAACTCCTTCCCACCCATTAGCTCTCACGGTGGGGCTGCCCTGGGCCCAGGGAATGACTAAGAACCCCCCAGAAGCAGGCACTCAGCCTGGGTCAGGATTTCCGCGCTTTTCTGAAAGATGATCCCTGGCTCCCTCTTCAGAACCTCAGTCCCAGGGATCCAGTGAAGGCCTCTGGGACCAGAGTTCCTTAGAAACCTAACCAGGAGTCTGACTACAGTGTGGGTTTGGCGTGAGCAGAGGCAGGCCAGAGGGCGGAGGCCATGGGAAGGCCCAGGTCTCAGCCCTGAATTGCTGCAGCGGGCCCCCTTCAGCCTCAGGCCCTTCCATCCATATCTCCAAGTGGAGGCATCTCTAGGGGGTTTAAGGAGCCCAACCCTCCTCTTCAAGACCAGGGGCCTGAGCTCTCATTCCAGAATCAGAGAAGGCCGAGGTCTGGGTTTTCCGTCCAGCCTCTGCCTTGGATGTCTCCTCTCCCCAGTCCAGGCCTCTGAGAATGGGAGATGGATGGATGGCCGTCCAGCCTTGTGGTTCTGCGATCCCCATATGTGTCCCTTGTGCCTCCCATGCTGTGTATGGCCACCTGTCGATGGGGCTGTTCCTGACCCCACTTTCCAGCTCCATCACCAATGGAGACATTCTGGGGTCTTGTCAGGGGGCTGTTACGTGAGCTCTGGCTCCAGGGAGGGTACAGCATCTTCAGGGCAGTCCCCGAGGAGGGGCCATCCAGAGCTGACAAGGGCCTCTTGCGGTGCAGTCAACAGGCTCCGGGGTCAAGGGGATTAGCTGCCCTTCCCCAGGCTCCCCACCCGTGCCTGGGGGAGCGCCCCCAGGTGGCTCAGCTCCCACCCCCAGCATCCCCCACCCCCTCAGCCACGCACACACAGTGCCCCTAGCCTCAGAGCCCAATCCCAGTGCAAAGCCCACCCAGCTGAGCCCACAGAGGCAAGGTAAACAGTGACGCGAGCATCCCTGGAGTGAATGGTGACTAACAACCATCACCTCTCCCAGGCTCGGCTAGCTCAGACCACACCATCCTCTCGAGTCAGCTGGAGAACAGCTGTCAAAGAGTCCTGACAAGCACCCCTGGGTATGTGGGCAGCGTTTCTGATTCCCCTCTCAGAGGTTACCTTTCCACAGTCCCTCCCTTCCTGCCACCCCATCAGGAGTTATTTATTTCACACCGCTAAATGCCACGGTCCTTCTCAGCTGCCGTGGCAGCATTCCGTCAGAAACCAGTCAACAAAGAGCAGCAGAAGAGGCAGCATTCAAGAGACAGAGTACTGGTGCCCAGCCCTTAGAAAAACGTGAGTCAGATCTATCACAGACATCCTAAATCAGATCTAGACGCCCTTCCTTTGCCTTCGAAATTTTCTTTTGCCTCCTGCAGGGTCCAGCAGATCTCATCTAGCTGGGTCGCTCCCAGTTAAGCTATCCTTGGCTATCCTTGGAAGGGACTCTACATAATGCTAGAAAGGCTGTGAAGCACACAGACTGCTTTGTGGATTACAGCATCTAAGGTAAGGTGGGCATGTGGAGTCCAGGGTAGACACAGGCGTACCTCCTCCTCGGGTACACCCATCACTTTAGAGCGACAGAGAGCTGTCACGTACACTTTTCCTGTTTGATCCTTAATCACTGCCCTGGGAAAGGAAAGGGTAGAGCAAGTAGGAGGCAAGTTAAAGTCTCAGGGACCTTGGAGAAGGGCACCGTTCAACAGCAAGGTGTCCTGGTCCTGCATGGCTGGGATGGAAATGTCATTTTAAGCACCCACTGAAACCGAAGATCAGCCTTCAAGAAACCCTCAATCTGGGTCCAAAGTGTGTGTGCATCTACAGTGGTATCTGTCCCCTTCCCCAGGCCCAGCCTTCTCAGGCAGCCCCACACCAGGGCCCAGATGCCCTAGAAGTGGGTAAACTGCTTGAGCCTTCACCCAGATGGCAGCATTTCAGAGCCCAACAGATACTATATGGTGGTGTTTTTTTGAATCTTGGCTAGGAGACTCTATTCACTGGAACTTGGCTGGGAGGCTCGCTCTTTTCTGGCACTCTCTCCAAGGTTCTACATGTAGCCCTTCGTGGGGGAAGTAAACCCTGGAAAAGAGTGTCATAACTAGATAAGCTGTGGCTTCCCTTGTAAACATTTTAGGAAGGACCCTCGTTGGAAAGACGCCCATTCCTGGCCTCGGTGGTCTTCCAAATAATGAGATTTCCAGCATCACTGCTCAGTTAGTGGCAGAGGAGGAAAACAAACAGGATTCTGCTTCGCCTCTACACCTTTCCCCATGAGGTCTTGCTGAATTTTAACAAGGTCAGTAACTGAATTTTAGCAAGCATCTCCAATGATGCAAGTCTGTCTAAATCGGTGTATTACGTAGGATAATAATAACAAACACTTACTGAGTCCTAACCACGTGTCCTAACCACCTGTTACATGGATTAACTCATTTAATTCTCTACAATGACTCTATGACATAAGAATGCTTCTTCTCCCCATTCTATAGATGAGAAAACTGAGGCACACATTACATAGTGAGGCGGCCGGAAGGGAGCCCATGCAGTCTGCCTCCAGTCCCTCCCCCACAACCACTGGGTTTATACCATGTCTGGAAACGTGGCCTGTGCCCCAAGCTGATCTCTTGCTGGATCAGCTGAGCCCTGGAGTGGACAGGGAGCTCCTTTGACACTGGAGCCCCAGCCTACGGCTCCAGCCTCCAGCCACCGAAACTTGGGTTGCTTGGGCAACAGCTACACCTGTGCTGACACAGAATCCAGTGACCCCAACAGAATTTCCTTACTGGCATCCCCTGTTCTGTCTCCTTTCTCTCCTTTCTCTCCTTTTGGGCCTCGGTCACCTGAAACAGAGGAGGAAAACGGGCATTAGAAATGGAAATAAATCCTAATTGTAAATAAAGTCTTACCTGCAGGAAACATTAACCCAAGACCAGAGAAATCCTCAGGGAGGAGCCCGCAGCCCTGGAGGGCATGCATGGCTGAAAGGGTAAGAGCTTGGGCCAATTATGTTGCCTATTCTGGTCCCCCCCTCGGGAAGCAGGGTGGGTGGGCACCAAGCACAGAAGTTTCATTCCCTCCTAACTAAAGCCTAGAGGAGCAGCGCAGCACAGACTAAAGGAGTACATGGTATCCCACAGGAAGAAGACAAAGCAAAGATATTCCTATTAAACAGCCAAAGTTTCAGAAGTCCAAATCCAAGGTTGTTCTAATAAGCACGGAAAGAGAAAAGCGGGGGAGGGTCTTCAGTAACAAAGGGAGACACATAGGTTCTATGTCAGGCAGATTTATCAGTGGAGGAGGCTATAAAACACGAGGGAGGTTCCAGGGAATTGTGGAATTTCCTTCCCAGGATATGGTTAAAACAACAGAGCTTTTTTCTCAGCTAGCATCTCACTCTACAAAGAAGTAGAAGGGTCCTGACACCACTCAGGGGGACATTAAAATGACCAGGGAATTCCATCCAATTGCCTCCAGAAAGATATCTGCAAATCAAAAGCTTATGGCATATTCTCTCATGAAAAAAAAGAAAGCCAGCAAGTTCCAGGGGAGGATGCCTCATGTGTTCCAAGTTTTGAAAATAAAAAACAAAAGCAACCATATATGTAAATATGAATGTGCTTGGAAAAGGGTCTGGCAGGATGTGCTCCAAAGTGTTTACAGTAGTTATTCTGAAGAATAAGCCCTTAAGAGACCTGGGGGGAGGCACTCATTTTTTACTTTATACATTTCTGTATTGTTAAATTGTTTTCAATAAGCATGTGCTGCTTTCGTAATGTGTTTTAAAATCGATTTTTTAAAATGTGGACCGTAAAAGGAAGGAAAGCCTCAGTCTGTTTAATCACCAACCAGAAAGCAGAATAAAAGTTCCTAGTGATCCTAGATTAAGAGGTCATCCTAGATGTGGGGTGGGAATGATTAATAGTACTTTTCTTTTTCTTAGTTTTCATTTTAACAAGTGAGAGAGCCTGGGGAAAGAGGATCAGAGCTCCTCTTTTTCTTCTGCAATGGTGCTAAGAGGTCTGGACACTCTTGAAATGAACGTGGAAAGACGGGACTGACTGTAAAGTGGGATTTCCTGAAAACGAACAAGATGACTATTAACGGGAAGGAAAAAAAGTCAGAAGAGACACTATTGGCAATGGAAATCTGAGGACTGATTAAAGTTTTAAATATTTGGGGAATAAAAAGAATATGAGGAACTGTGAGGAATCTGGCAGTATTGGGGGAGGGGGCCATCCTGGGTCTGTGTTTCTCCTGCAAGCCCGCTCTCCTGGCCTGGCTTCCTCTGGTTACACCACCGAGCTGCAACCAATAGTAACACTCCCTTGCATTTCTACAGCGCTTCGGAGTTTACCGTGTTTTCACTCATATACGTTCCACGTAATCCTCGTGACAGCCCTGTGAAATATGGTATCACGAGGCTTGTTAGTTTGGGAATGAGGAAACTGACGCTTAATGGGAATTCCCTGGGCAGTCCGGTGGTTAGGACACGCGCTTCCACTGCAGGGGGTGCGAGTTCCATCCCTGGTCGGGGGAGCTAAGATCCCGCAAGCCCTGCGGTGCGGCCAAAAGGAAAAAAAAAAAAGAAATCTAACATTATCAGTCCTTCATCTACTCTTCTGTAAAACCACAGATCATCTGAATATAAAGATAAACATAACGGAACTGAAGAATTGGAGGCAAGAAAATAAAGTAATTGTGGGGAATGGATATTTGACAATTTAAGGAGAGACTGGATTAGGACACCTCAATCTAGAGGGAGAAAAACAAAACAACCTCCCCCAACTGGCAGCCCTACTCCTTCCCTCTTATCCAAAAAGAAAAAAAAAAAAAAAAAAAAAGAAAAGAAAACAAACTGATGCCTAATGAGATTAAGTGACTTGCTCAAGGTCACTCAGCTTGTCAGTGGAAGAACTAGAATTTGAACCCGGTCCACACTCCAGTGCCCACACTGGTGTGCAGGGGCTGGCGGTGAGCGAGCGTGAGCTGAGATGCGTTGTTACCTTTGAACCCACGCATGCCCATCGGTCCCATGGCTCCCAGCTTCCCTTCGTCGCCCTTGGGGCCGGGCAGTCCTGGGGTCCCTCTCTCCCCTGGCAGACCTGGGGAGACAAGAAAGTTTTGGAGCCTCAGACTCAGAACTGGAAGGGCCCCCAGAGGCCATCGTCTGGCTCAGCCACAGACCTCAACCATGCATCCTCCTGCTATCCCTGCTTCCTGATTCTTCTGAGTTAAAGATGCTACAAAGACAGTGTCCAAAAGGTCAGCACAAACCCTCCCCGTCAGCACCTTTGATCCAGTGAGGCTGAACCCCTCCCCCCGAAAGGTCCAATTCTATTGTGAGTGATGGTGGAGGTGCCACCCTCATTCGGAAGCTGTCTCTATACCTCTAGCTTCGCTAGAGATTTAGACTTGCAAACTTTTTTGGAGCCTTTTGAACGTGGCAGGTACTGTTCTGGGTGCTTTCCATTACGTATCTTATTTAATCCTCCCCATAAACTGAGGTATTATTTCACCTGTGTTACCAATGAGAAAACTGAGGCCCAGAGAGGTTAGGTAACCTGCCCATGGTCACACAGCAGAGAGCACTAGAGGCAGGGTCCTATCCCTGCTTGGTCGGCTTCATCTCAGCTGGATGAAAAGGGCTTACTGGTACTTGGGGTAGGAGGAAGATTAAATCACTCCCCATCCTATGTAAGAAAAAACCAGCAAGGTCCCTTCCTTGTGGTAAACACAGGGGAAGGTAGGCTGCAGAGGAGGCAGGAAGTCTGCAAGCTCAGTAACTGGGGCAGACAGGCTGCTGTCACATCAGTCCCCAGGGCTCCTGGCCACAAGGCCCCGTGGCACTGGCTGCACGTCACCACGGAAAGCCAGAGTCAACAAGTGGTTTCTCCCAGTGAGGCCTCGGCCCTGGAGGTCTGACCTAAGCCCACAGTTATCTCTGCAAAGCAGGGCACTCTAATTAACTAATAATTGTACTTTCCTGCTTCGAATGTTAGTTGGTTTCCTTTGGCCTTTTTCCATGACATGGAGAAATCTGTCTCGCACTTATGATTCCTCCGCCGTAAACATCAAACAGCTGGAAGAGGATGGGGGCCCCAAGAGGGTGGTAGGTAGCACCTCAGACGAGGGCTTGATTTCTTTATTTTTTTCCCTAACGCAACATTCCTGGAGCCCAACAGCCCTGCTGCCACGGCATTCTGTGTCTCCTGCAGGATATGCCCAGGGATCCTGCATCCTGTCATTGACTAAGGCAGAAAAGGAGGTTCCACAGCTCTGGGAGTCCCTGGGCATCCTTGATTCTGAGTTTAGGGCGCTGTGCTGAGAGGTGGAGGCAGGCCGTGGGTTCTGCCTGAACCAGCCTCTGCCTCTTCTGTTCTCAGCCTCCTTAAGAGATTTAGGAAGGGGGTGGTTTGGAGGTATAATTCCTGACATAAATAAGCCGACACCTTTCCCCTGATAAACCTCCCCTTTTCTTACATCACTTAGAAGACTCTACACTCCCTTAGAAAAACGCTGCTCACAGCAGAGGCTCGGGAATGGATAGGCTGGGATGCAAAATTTGGTAAAGTAACAGAACGGGAACTACTGAGACGAGGCATTTAAGATGAACATGCCCTTTCCAGAAGGCCCCAAAGTACCCTCCCTGCCAGCTATTGGACCCTCCGGGCTGTCACTACTGCATGTAGCAGGGTGGAGAGGGCATGAGAGGGCAGGTATCTACTGACCGGGGCAGGTTCCGCAGGAGGTAGGGGGTCAGGTGCTGGGGACTCAGGAAACACTGAGGGGACACAGCATACTTGATGGGTTGCTCTGGATCAGGGGACACCCTCAATACCTTCCAATGGCCCTGGTCACAGGGACCCTAGCTGCTGGGGTGGGAAGTGGCTTCAAGGAGCTGTGAGCCTCGTGTGTACCCTTTTTCTTCAGGTCCTGGTACTCTCTATGGAAAAGGATTTGCTCCATCCTATTGTTATACCAATAACCTCTTAGTCTCTTAACAGAACAGGGCATCTGAAGCTTTAACAGAACAGGGCACCTGAAGCTGAGTTGATTGGGCACTGTCCCAGGAGCCCCATCACCGATACCAAAGAGAAAATAGAGGGTCAGGGATGGATAGCAGAGCCCCTTCCCTTCCTGGTATGTCCAGTTCCCTCCCAGGGGCCTCCCCATTACCTTGAAGTCCAGGTAATCCAGGGATTCCAGGCTTGCCTTCTTTCCCTTCATCCCCCTGATCGCCTTTGGGGCCCGGTGGTCCTGAAAGGGTTGCAAACAGCACTAAGGTTAGAGGAGGGCTTTCTGGAGTAGGTCACCTGCGGAGGAAACTCCCTCCTAAAAAGAGGAAGGGTCAGCATTATGCTTTGGATGCACACAGGGCTCCATCTAGTCCAGCCGTGTGTGTGCGTGCGTGCGTGCGTGTGTGTGTGCTTGCACTGGGGAGGTAGGAATCAGGGAAAGCTTCCCGGAAGAAGTAACATCCAAAGTGAAATTGCAAGGAGGAACAGAAGGTGGCTAAGTAAAGAGAGGAGTGCGAGTGTGTTACGGACTGAATGTCTGTGGCTCCCCTAACCCAACACCAAATGCATATGTTGAAGCCCTAACGTCCAACGTGCTGGTATTGGAGACGGGGCCTTTTTGGGAGATGATTAGGTTTAGATGAGGTCATGAGAGTGGGGCCCCCATGATGGGATTAGCGCCCTTATAGGAAGAGACCCCAGAGAGCACTCTTCCTCCCTCCCTTCCTCACGCTGGCACCGATGAGCATGCTTTCTCTGCCATAGTGGGGCACGGCAAGAAGACAGCCATCTGCAGCCAGGAAGAAGGCTCTCATCTGAACCCAACCCTGACCTCAGACTTCTAGCCTCCAGAACTGTGAGAAAGGAATGCTGTGTAAGCCACCCAGTCGGTGGTATTGTTATAACAGCCTTAACTAAGAGGAAAAGGGGAAAGTTCCAGGCGGAGGGAACAATCCCCATAAGAGCTTAAAGATAAGAAAGAGATCTGTGAGTCATGATGGGATTAGAAACTGGGGATGGGGGTCCCATGATGGCATAAGAAGGGTGAGAAAGTGGAGGGTCCTGGAGGCCTGGTGTAAGTGTGTTGAATTTGACCCTGAGGGCACCAGAAGCCACAGAAGGGGCCTGAGAGAAGAGTGTGGTCATATCTGCACACGAGGAAGACTGCTCAGGCTGCAGTGTTGGAAAGGGATTGGAACAGAGGGAAAGCAGAGGCAGGGAGGTCAGGGAGGAGGCTGCACCCCAGGTGCGAGGTGGCGGAGCCCTGTATTAGGGCAGCAGCCGTGGGGAGGGATGTATGAGTGGCTGTTAGAAAGCAGAAGGGACAGACCTTGGCTAAACTAGGTGAAGGCAGGGGAGGCGGCCAGGATCAGGTTCAGATCTCTGGCTTGAGCACCTGGATGGAAGAAGAGGTTTCTAATTGCTCCTTAGCGGGGCTTCCTTCCAGGGCGAGGGTCCAGCGTCACGGCAGGGATTCTAGCTTGTGTGATCAGATTCAGTCCCCACATGCTGGGTGTTGAGACTATACAGCCAACTAGAGAGTGAGGGAGCCGTGGTTTCAACTCAGGTCTGCCTGGCCCTGCCCACCCTGCCCTGCTCCTCATGTAGACCTCCTGCCATTCCCAGAATGCACCTGAACCTTCCCGCACGGCAGCCTGCTGTTCCCAGACTGGCGAGCCAGGGGGGCCCTCCTTGCCAATCTCCTATGGCTACCTGCCCCTCAAGGATGCTCATGACCACCTTCTTGGCCAAACTTTCTCTGATATCAATCATTCCCGCTGCAAGTGGGCATGGCCTGTTTGAATGCACGTCCTTGGTGCCACTTGACGTTTATCTCACACTACCTGGTCTTACAGTTACGGGAGTACGTGTTCTCTTTTTCCTAAGAAAATGGCAATCATTCCTGCTGCAAGTGGGCATGGCCTGTTTGAATGCACGTCCTTGGTGCCACTTGACGTTTATCTCACACTACCTGGTCTTACAGTTACGGGAGTACGTGTTCTCTTTTTCCTAAGAAAATGGCCAGCTCCCTGAGACAAGACCACATCCTTGACATCCTCGTACTGGCTGTGAAGATCCGGACTCTTAACTTTCCCTGCTCTGGCTGCTCGATGAGAGAAAAAAAAAAGGACCAAGGAAAATGCCCAAACTGTATTGCATTGGGTGGAAGTGTGTCCCCTCCAAGTTCACGTCCACCTGGAACCTCAGAATTCGACTTTCTTTGAAAACAGGGTCTTTGCAGATGTAATTAGTTAAGATGAGGTCAGACTGCAGTAGGGTGGGTCCTTACCCAATGACTGGCATCCTTATAAAAAGAGAAAGCACAGACAGCTGGGCAGAAGGCCAGGTTACCATGGAGGCTGAGACTGGAGTGATGTGTTTACAGGCCAAGGAACGCCATGGATGGCTGGCAACATCAGAAGTTAGAAAGAGGCCGGGAAGGATCCTCCCCTAGACCTTTTAGAGGGGGTATGGCCCTGTGGACACCTTGATTTCAGACTTCTGGCCTCCAGAACCGTGAGAGAATAAATTTCTGTTGTTTTAAGCCACTCAGCTTGTGGTGCTTTGTTATGGCAGCCCTAGGAAACCAAAGCATGTACACTCGCAGCATAGCAGTCATGTCTTGCACAATAAATATTTGATGAATGAATGAGTATATGAGATCAGAGGGTGTTAATACACATGAAACAGCCAGGTGGCCAGGATCAAGAGGTACTGATACATTCCCAAAGTTGACACTGTCCGCAGACCCTAACCAAAGTTGACAGCTGTTTAAGCATTCAATGGCATGTGCACAGGGAAAAAAGTAATCAACAATTGAAAAATGCACAAATCATTACACAATGACTTGTGAGTTACAAAAATCGTTTAAGGAGGACTGGGGTTTGTAGTCATCTTCCTCTTTTCTAGGAAGAAAAGCAAAGTAAGACTGGCCACGGTGACCTCGGTTTTTGGACAACAGGAACTGCCGGGAACACGCCTAAGATTATACAGCAAAGAAAGATAGAGTACAGAAGCAAATGAGCTTTAACAATGCCCATTCCAACAATCTCCTGGCCAGGTCAAAGCTGCAGCAAAGGGAGCTGAGAACGGTTCCTGGACCTCTGTACGTCATGGGCTGTCACTGGGCTGTCACCCTCCCCCTGCCCCCAGTCCACTCCATCCCTTTTCACTCTTCTCTGCTCCCTCCAGGCCTCCCCATGGGTAACCCAGCCCTCCGGGAATCAAGCAGGTCAAGGATACCATGGACCATGCCCTCCATTTGTTTTATTCGCTCTGATGTGCGTGTGACCCAACATATGGACCTTCCCGGGAGTAATTCTGGCAAAGAGAGGATGCTGCCCAGTGGCCTGACCCTGATGGTAAGGCATCAAGGTGGCAGAGATCATTTGGAAGGTGAGGTTTGAGGATGGATATGGAAGATCTTAGATTCTGGTCCTGGTTCCATAAAATCTAAGTAAAAATCCCTTCCTCCGGCGTTTGTAGTGAGGAATAAGCGAATTCAGTGACGTGGTGGATATCAACAGGCTTGGGAAGCCTTGAGTGGCAAGGCCATCCCTGACCATCTGTACCTCACTTTTCGTAATGCTTCATCAGAACTATTTGGAGATGGTTATTCCAGGCTCTGAAATCCCCCTTCCAATTCAGGGAGAGCCAGATCCAAAAAACATCCTACACATGGAGAGTTTTTAAGACATAACTAAGTGGTTAGTGAAGGCCTTTACTAGAGATTAACTGGGAAGAAGCTGGGGTAGACAGTTAAGGTGGGTGCTGATTTCCAAGCCTTAGTAATGTCCTCAGGTGGTTCTGGCCCGGCCGACTCAGAAGAGCCTGGAATGCGGCCGGTCTGAGTCTCATGGGGCCATGCTGCCTGGAGCTCTGAGGATCAAGTGCTTCTTTAAACCACTGCTGCCCACGGGTGATGCACTCTTGGGATCTGACGTTTTGTCATTTTCTCAGGAATCCAGGTTAAAAATCTGGAGCTTTCTTGGACTCCTCCCTTTCCTCTGCCCAGCCCCCTTCAAGGCTGTCATCCAGGTGATTCCCATGTCATGTGTCTAACTCCTTCCTCACTGCCTCACTCATTGGCTCCAGCCTCTCTCTCCAGCCCACTGTTGCTGTCTGATTAATCTCATCAGAATCGAGTGAACTCAGAGCCCTTGGAAGCCCCTCCCACCATGGTGGGCAGCCCCCTCTGTTGGGGACCCCCTGAAAATCATTCCCAACCTGACCCCTTCTTCTGAAAACTCACAGCCTGATGCTTCTCGACACAAACTCTCTTCCACCTCAGCAAAAACGTTTTCCTCGTGGTGTCCCCAAATACTAGCCATCTTTTCCTTTCTAAGAGGCCCATCACTCTCATCCCTGAAGCTCACCTTCACACTCATCCCTCCCATCTCTGAGGGCACCAGGGCAGAACCCCCAGATCTCAGAACTGGAAGGACCCTCAGGCATCACCATGTACAGACTGCTCAGGGGAGCACCAGAGCCTGGTCAGGCCACCCTGTGCCCACAAGCCAGCCACTGTCACTCCCCTTGGACTGTGGTTCCCAAGGAGGACAGGCCTATCTAAGGGGCTGGAGCCCCACTCTCTGTGGCCCTGGGCCTCACAGAGCACCTGGCACACAGGAGAGCTTTCAAGGAATGACTTCTGGGCAGTCGTGGAAGCTGTTATGGTGTCAGTGGTCCCAGTGGTCCCCAGATGAGCATTTTTTAAAATTTTTATTAAAGCATAGTTGATTTACAATGTTGTGTTAATTTCTTCTGTACAGCAAAGTGACTCACTCATATATGTATATATATATATACTTTTTCATATACGGCTTATCACAGGATATTGAATATAGTTCACTGTGTTACACAGTAGAACCTTGTTGTTTATCCATCCTAAATATAATAGTTTGCCTCTGCTAATGCCAAACTCCATCCCTCCCACATCCCCCTCTTGGCAACCACAAGTGTGTTCTCTACAACTGTGAGTCTGGTTTTGTTTCATAGATATGTTGATTTGTATCATATTTCAGATTCCACATATAAGTGATATCTTATGGTATTTGTCTTTCTCTGTCTTACTTCACTTAGTATGATCATCTCGAGGTCCATCCATGTTGCTGCAAATGGCATTATTTCATCTTTTTGATGACTGACTAATATTCGGATGAGCTTTTAAGCTTCTCAGCTTACGCCATCATGTCTCACCTTTTCTATCACTGGAGCAGGCCAGGGCAGAGGTGGGCTGGG